TTTTTTTTACTCTTTGTACAGCAGTTATTGTTCATTCTAAATTTATTTTTTAATGTAGAATATGTGTCACATAAATACATGAAATGTAGAACATATAAAAAAGTGCTCGTGTGCCAGTGGGTGCCCCCCCCCCACGCATAAAAGTGAAACTCCGCCTATGGACTGAGGTGAGACCCTTGAGCAAGGCACCCCCCAACTGCTCCCCGGGCGCTGCAGCAATATGGCTGCCCACTGCTCTGGGTGTGTGTTCACGGTGTGTGTGTGTGTTCACTACTGTGTGTGTGTACTTGGTTGGGTTAAATGCAGAGCACAAGTATGGGTCACCATACTTGGCAACACGTCACTTCACTTCACAAAAGAATACAATTACCCTGCCTCATTATTTGATGTATTTAGTTAATATATGTCTGATGGTGTATTATTTTGTTGCCTCATATGGGCAATTATGTAACTGCTGCATAGTTATTGTATTTATAATACAATGCATGTAACATTTATATGATATTTTACAGTATAAACCCAGTAATATTGTAAGTTTTAGGCTGGAGAGCGCTGCAGAGTTATATGTGTGTGCAGTAGCGGCTGTGCGGAGTGGAATTCAGGGTCAAAGAGATAAGGAAAAGACCACACTTTGTTGTTCAAAAGCTTTTATTAAGAATTTGTTTTATTAAGGAAAAGACCACACTTTGTTGTTTAAAAGCTTTAAAAGCGTTATTAAGAAAAAGACAAGACATTGTTTGTTGTTAATGCTTTTTATTGGCAATGTGGTTTATTAAGAGAACAGAGTAGAGAGGAAGAAACATGTATTAGAAAGAACAAGAGGGCAGAGTGCTTACCAGGAGGTGATGGGCCAGTTGCGGGACGAGACGCAGAGGACAGCAGAGGAGTCCGGAGGAAGAAGAGATAATGAATGAGGCTATTTAAAGAAGACATTAAGGGAGTGTCCAGTCTGAATGACCTCATTTGGTGAAGTCACAAATAAATATCCATGATGAAGACAGTGACATCTGATGCTGATTCGGGACCACCTGAAGAGAAGTTCTAAAAAGAAAACCGGCAGACTGGTCAGTGAAGGAAAAGACATTCCAAATGCCAAGCAATTGTATGATTGTCTACTGAATGCCCAGACCTCTATACAGCTGTTCTACATTGATGAGGAAGCTGTGGGCAAAGCTGTACAGAAGATGAAAGAACCAGACCAGGAAAGATCATCTACAGAGATGTCAGCTGTCTCTGCTCTACTAAGCAGATTCTTGAGTGTACATGTCACAACACACAAAGGTTTGTGTTTGATGTTTTGCCCATCCTTTATGCCACCACTGAATGTGATGTTCAGCCAATCCTTTCTGACACCACTGAAGATCAACAAGCACAGAAAAAACACTCTGTAAATACACTGAAATGTCACAAAAAGTATGCTTGTGTTTTAGTATATTTCTTAAAAGCTTAACTAAGCACATATTTATTATACTTCTAGTATACATTTAAAAAATATTTTTAAAGGAGTAAAATTGTATTATAAATATAGGGTACAACGGGGCTAAAGGCCCACCTTAAGAAAAAATGTGCTATTCACTGCGCCTAAAATGTATAATTGCAGAGAAAATATATACGTTGTATTGAACATTAATGGAGCAACAGATTTTGTGTGAAAATAAATCATTAAAGTTGTTTATTTTGTTTAAAAATCTTATAAATGTATGAAAGAGGGTAATACTTGTTCAAAACAATCACTTTAGCAGAGTTTGTACTATTTTCTGCTTATTTTGAAAAATAAAAGAATTATTTTTTGTTCAATAAATATACTGTCATTAAAATATGTTAATATAAAAAATATATTTTAAAATACAGAAACAAAATTATTTTAATAAGTAAAGATTCTTGTATTGTATTGAAGGAGATCCAATAATAACTGAATATATATTTACAGAAGTAACAACAAATGATATTTTATTAAATGATATGATTAATATTATGTTTTTAAATATGATGGTTTTATTCTAAAAATTGTGATCATCTCTAATATGGACACCCAGCATAATATATGATATTTACCATCTGAATCTAACCATGTTATGTCAACAAATGGAAAAGTCAGTCATCTATTAATTATCATGTTAATTACTGTGCCTTTAGCTCCAACAGCAGGGGTGCTTTTTACAGTAGCCCCTCACTGCAGAACAAAGTTCCAGGGGGTGGGGTTGGATCCACATCTAGGGGGTGGAGATGGGTGGGTTTAGGGATCAGGGGGTGGAGACGGGTAGGTTTAGGTATATGTAAGGTGGGAGGAGTTGGATCTGGATCCAACCTCGCCCCCTGGATCTTGTGTTCTGCAGTGAGGACCATCTCGCTTTTTACCCCAATTACCATACTTTTACATATTCTTTAGTTATTTAAAAACTGTTGCTTTAATTATCTTAAACAAAACTGAAAATCATAAAGAAGACCTTTGTCTCAAAATATATGCATTAATTTTAGCGATTCTCATTTGCTACTTAAATCTACAACATTTTAAAAAACATAAATTATTAGAGCAAGTAAGCACAGAATCAACTTTGCACTGCTGCGCGTGATCGCGTCCAAGATCAGACAAAAATACACGTGCATCTTGAAAATTGGATGTTTTGTAAAGTGCTATGCCACGTTTTTGTGCCATCTAGTGGTTTAGATGAAAATAATATCAAAGGCGCCTTTTACCCCGGGGCGCCTTTAGCCCCGTTGTACTCTACTATCTGAAGTACATTTTAATACGCTTAAGAATAGGCCTACATCTTTTTTTCACGTGAGTACTGGTATATATTATCAAAATAATATTGAGATATTAATTTTGTTATATCGCCCATGCCCTAACACTAGGTGGTGCTATGTAATATTTATGTGGACAGATACATTTATTATATAGCACCACCTAGTGTCGGGCAGATGTGTGTCTGTGCAACGGTGCAAGTTCTAGCAAATTTGGGGTTTCCACCATTTACATTCTCTGATGCCCATACACCTTTGGGACTTGAACCCCTAATAACAATAAATCCTAAATCTAAAAAAAAAACTATAGGGTTTCAGTGCTTCATGCTTGGTTGGACCCCTAATAATCATAAAAATTATCAGAACAAAAAAAAGTGTTTCAGCACATTTTCAAAACAGTTGAACCCCTTATAATAACAATGTCAAATTCCTACAATTACAATAGGGTTTCAGCACATGCTTGAACCCATGCTTGGTTACAGATTTAGGGAGATTTCCAGCACACAGCCTCCATGTAGTTCGAAATTATCACCACAAGGTGTCCGACTAGAACCATATTTTCAATAAATTTGAGACCCAAATAAAAAGTCCAGGTTAAGCAAGGCTGGGTTTCTGACTGAGCTACGTTTTAGGGTATTTCTTTACAGGAAAGTCAGTCACAAACAAATTCAAATATGTTTAACAATGATTTGAACATTTCTCCAGATTATATTATATAAACAAAACAAAACAGAAAAACAAAAAACGCAACAACAAGACATTTTGGGAATTAAATAGACGAACATACAAGATTATATACGTACTACTGTAAAAATCACTTGCATTTACGGTTTAAAATAGATTGCCATGTTCAATAAAAAAAAAAAACGACAACGACACACACACTGTTTGAAATTGTTCATCATTAAGTTGAATTTACAAATAGTGTTTTCAAAGATTCAGATTCACCACATTCTCTCACCCCATGTGTATCTGAGAATATCTGTGTGCACTTGGGTGTAGTTTCTATGCAAGCGTGTACACTCCAATGAGGTGCGTGTGCAGCGGCAGCGACAGATGGCGGGCTCCTCTTCCCTCGGGAAGGCAATCTCTACGAATGCGAGCGCGTGTCAATCACCCGCTCTCATGTGATGGCTCCTGCCAGTGACGTGCCCACCATATGGCCTGGCATCAGAGCAGGTATGTAAGGCTGCCTGCAAGGGATGCCACACCGCCTCGCTGCAGTCCGGAAAAAAGATAACTCGTACCGGATCAAGAGACAATTGAGCTTCTCTTTTTCTTAATCTTCTAGCGTGGAGATGGTGTAGACATACGCGCCCTCATCCATAGAGCACCACAAACTAGGTGAGTTTTTCGAACGCGATAGAATCATAACAAAATCTAATAATTATTTATAATAAGATATGTCAACTGATGCTGGTTCAATTGATTTGTTATGCGTTTATACAATTTAGATATTTATCATCGGTGTTTTTATCTTCGTTTTTTTTTTTATTAGATCATTTTAGTCTATACTCTATCATACGTTAGAATTAAAGCAGACGTGTAATGTTACATATGAGAACGAAAATCTGAATCGACTCGTTCAGAACAGATGTTGGGCTATATCAAAACGGCTACACAGTTTATAGGCTAATTCTGTGTATTCAGACATATTTCACAAAACATTTATGAGATTGGTTAGCAGAGAGTGTTGTGTCGTATATAATATGTTGTGCAAGAGAGAAAAACATTTAATTATTCTAAAACATTTAAGCATTTAAAACGGGTAAATCTGTTTAGTAACCTCTTTGTTACATTTTCAAAGACTTTTGCTGAGATGATTTCAGTGAGTAGTGTTAACGTCACTATTTTAACAGTATGCAGGTATTACTACCAATAATATCATATTACAATAGTTTACATAGTATAGCCTACAAATTATTTTAAAAAAATTCTTGTTCATTAGAAAGTGTTTTCAGAACAAAAACACTGGACCGCTCAGATTTTTTTTAACAATTAAATTGAATGTTTTTTTATTTTATTTTTTTATTACATAAATATTATTATGTTTATACGTTCAGTAAAATTATCGAATTATCTTAGAAGGGTTTTTTTTGTTTGTTTTTTTTGCTTTATACTACGATTATATAACAATGTCCCCTCCTTTGAATGGAAAGTAGGGGACAGGAGGTAGAGCGACAATTGTTTTAGAACCTAGACATGAGTTGCATTTAAGGTATCCTGCATTCATCAAGAGGAGCAGGGAATTGGCTATTGAAATGAGATCGTATTACAAATAAATACTAGATTGACTTTACCGTTACAGCTTTTCTTTCGTTTCGTTTTCCTTTTTATGTTTTCGAAAAAGCGTTTTTTTTTTCTAATGTGCTGGAATGCTGCCAGAATGAAGATAGAAATGAAAGGGTGATGGGGGTACCCGCTGCTCAAAATGCCCCCCTGAGACCCAAAGACAGGGGCCGCGTGCGAGGACCTGCTGCGAGGGGCCAAACATGACTACAGAAATTGGGAATTGGGGAGTGAGACCGTCTGGCGACGTCTGTCTCTCTCCCTGAATTAAAATAACATTTTATATTAGTCTTCTCCCAAGATAGGCCTACTCCCAGCTTTCTGAAAATTATGACAATAGTTATTTAGCCTGCTCATATTTCCCATGCCAATGACATTTTTTGCTCTTCATTTTAAATAGTTTGTTTCATCAAAGGTAACAGTGAAAACTACATTTAAAACAATCCTTATTTACTTCCCTAATGGCAGAGTGCATTACCTTTACATTTCGCCGAGGTCGTTATTATTATTTCAAACGACATTTGTGCTGTACACAATTTGAAGGGCAGAGTTTAATAATTAAAACGTGTTTTGATGTTTCAGTGCCGCTGCCATGTTGACTAGATTATTCAACGAACCTTCACTGCTTCCGGACATGCAGAAATTCGGGGGCTGGGTGGATGACAGCGGGAGCGAGGACTCCAAGATGAAGGACGAGGAGCAGGAGCGCTGTCGCCTAGGCGACGAGGACTTGGAAGAGGGCGATGTGAAAGACGGGAGCAGCCGTGCTCAGTCAGAAATTGCAGGGGAGGAGGACGATGATGAGGATGTTGATGAAGATGATTGTGTAGATGACGGGGACGGAGACAGGCCCAAAAAACGTGGGCCAAAAAAACGCAAAATGACACCGGCTAGGTTAGAGCGCTCGAAAGTACGGCGCCAAAAAGCAAACGCCAGAGAGCGCACACGCATGCACGATCTATGCTATTTCTGATTGATTCTAATGTTTGAACCATAATGAGTATCTAATGTAATAACTCAAACTGTTAAATGAAGTCTGTTACTTGATCAAATATTATTATTATTTTCTTTACATTATTGGACAATAATCATTTCAATAATTCCATAATGAACCTTAATGGACAAAATATAAAAGAAGTGAATGAATCCAACTGCTAAAAACATTGTGCAAAGTGGGATTGCTATTTCTGATTGATTCTAATGTTTGAACCATAATGAGTATCTAATGTAATAACTCAAACTGTTAAATGAAGTCTGTTACTTGATCAAATATTATTATTATTTTCTTTACATTATTGGACAATAATCATTTCAATAATTCCATAATGAACCTTAATGGACAAAATATAAAAGAAGTGAATGAATCCAACTGCTAAAAGGAGACAGGCCCAAAAAACGTGGGCCAAAAAAACGCAAAATGACACCGGCTAGGTTAGAGCGCTCGAAAGTACGGCGCCAAAAAGCAAACGCCAGAGAGCGCACACGCATGCACGATCTAAATTCAGCACTGGACAATCTACGCAAGGTCGTACCATGCTATTCAAAAACTCAGAAACTCTCCAAAATTGAAACACTAAGGTTAGCGAAGAACTACATTTGGGCGCTGTCAGAAATCCTGCGGAATGGGAAGAGACCGGACGTGGTTTCGTATGATAAAAGAAGTGAATGAATCCAACTGCTAAAAACATTGTGCAAAGTGGGATTGCTATTTCTGATTGATTCTAATGTTTGAACCATAATGAGTATCTAATGTAATAACTCAAACTGTTAAATGAAGTCTGTTTCTTGATCAAATATTATTATTATTTTCTTTACATTATTGGACAATAATCATTTCAATAATTCCATAATGAACCTTAATGAACAAAATATAAAAGAAGTGAATGAATCCAACTGCTAAAAACATTGTGCAAAGTGGGATTGCTATTTCTGATTGATTCTAATGTTTGAACAATAATGAGTATCTAATGTAATAACTCAAACTGTTAAATGAAGTCTGTTTCTTGATCAAATAAATAAAGACGCATAATTTTCCAGAATCATCTGGGGGCTGTCATTTACCATTGGAAATTGGTCAGGCAGAAATTTTAAGAATATACCAACTAATTCAAGAACAAACAAACTTGTGAGTAAACCCAGTAAAATTTCACAATTAATGAAAAACGAAAAAATTAATTTTATTTATGTTTTGATGAAAATTTCAAATAAGCTATTTTACATATCACCAGAAGTTAGTATAATGTATTTTTGAAGACGACCGCTGCAAATTTCACAATATCACAATCAGTCTAATTGTACAACAGTGCTGGGATAAGATAAAATGCAAAACGGTTGGAGGACGAATTAAAATAGAACGCATCATTATGTGTCGATATAAAAGGCCTCTCCCAACCCACGACCAATCTGGTGGCTGGGTGCCTCCAACTTAACTCAAGGAATTTTCTAACTGAACAATGTCAAGAGGGAGCGCGCTTTCACTTACCTAACCCCTCGTTCTCCATGCACGCATTTCCATACCAGTGCTCCCGTCTATCAAGCACACACTGTCAGTCCGGGTCCAATGCACATAGCCTCCGAAATCACTCTTTCTGTTCGTCCTATGAGGCTCTGTACACCGAAGGCACGTCCCCAGAATACAACAGTCCAGATTACGAGAGTCACCACAGCCCTCCGATGTGTGTAAATGGTAACTTTGCTTTAAGACAACCGGAGTCACTGTCACCAGACGCGGAAAGAGGTTATCAATATTCTATGCATTACACCAATCTGCATGGCTCACGGTCCTCCGCTGCTCATGGTCTTGCTTACGGCCCATCAGGAACTCGCAGCGGTAGCGCTCACTCAGAGAACCTTCCACCGTTTCATGATGTACACGTGCACCACGATCGGGCGCCTCCATACGATGAACTCAACGCCCTTTTCCACAATTAGGTGATTTTTCCTAATTGTTAATGAAAAAAAACAGATGTGGAAAAGGAAAAGACATTTCCACATTCAAAACATTAATTCATTTAGTTATATATATATCACAGCAACTAAAATATTTTAAGGTTTTGCATATACTAAAGCGTAAATTGCTTAAATATGATTGTTTACATATTTACATCCATTTGGTTAGCATAATTACAGGACTGCTACGTCCTGTTTTCAGTTAATTCTAGTCTGCGAAACATTATTATAAGTATTATTATTATTATAGTCCGAGCAAAATTCTTAATTCTATATTTAGGCAAGTTGGAGTACACCATGATCTCTTCACATTATGAATAAATTAACTAATTCGTGAAAGAATTTTACTTTGTGACAATTTGTACATTAATTATCCCACGGTTAGAATTTAGGTAGCATAAACATATTATTTCATTATAATTTTAGCAATCACGAATATACCAATCAATGCAATTTAAGTGCACAAATAAATAGTTTGAGTGGGGCAGCAAATGTTGCATTCGTTAAAGCACTATGTCATTGGTATTGTTACCATAGGACTACTTTAATCTAAGATGATTATCATTGCTCCTTGAAATAGTATTCAAATATATCGGAATAGTTAGGCCTATTTATAGTTTTACATAGGTATGTTATTAAATTGCATTTTAACGTTCAGATATTTATTTATTTATTATTTATGTTGCTATCAATCAGCAAATTCAGTTCTAAAAAAATTAAGTTCTTTGTGTTGCATTAGATTTTTTAAAACAGTCCAGGTGTCATCTGTCAGCAGAGGGAAAGTAAAGCTCTTCTAGGTTACTTGAAAAACTAGAGCAAAGTTTCTAAAGAAGTGTGTGGATGGAAAAAGTCACATATATGTGATCACACAACAAACCCGTTTTTGACATTTTTTATTTTCTATTTTTATTTTAGTTTCCGCCCGAAATCAGGTAGTACTGTACATCACAGAAATCTTTGAGTTCAAAGCGCTTATTTCTCTTGTGATTAAGGCATTGATGTTTTGAGCCCAGAAGGTAAAAGCCAACAAGGAGACAAAAGGCGCTCCCTCCTTAAACTCGACCACAGCCGAGGTGATCTTAAGCGGCGTCCAGAGGCCACGGGCTGGCACGGAAGCCTGGGACTCAGGAGACATGCGCTTGCCAATTCGCTAAATGTCTTAGCGTCAGTGCGCAGGGCCAGCGGGGCAGCCCACCACAGCGATGCCAGCTGCGCCGTGTGCCAAGCCTGGCCAAAACTGTGCTGCTGGGTGGAGACGGTGTTTCTTTCTTAATTCAGCAGCATCTGTTCATTACTTCATATTTTACAGGGAAGAATGGTTCAACTATGCTAGCAACTGAAAGAGCAAAGCCTAACTATCGAGACTGCACCGGATAACAGTTGTAACAAACACGCAATCCTGTATATTAATTCATCTGATAAATTTTAAACTAATAATAATGTAGCGTAGCTAAACAAGATGTGGAGAGAAACAATATTATACGGGGGAAAACTATTCTTAAAATAAAATGGAAAACGAAATTGCAACAATAACAAATGATCAGCCAATGTATTATAGGAAATGAACAGAAATATTTGAAATTGTTATTATAGGACAAAATGTAAAATATTAAGTGAAAAAGATTTCACTTACTTAACCTTTAGGTTTAAATAAAAGCAAAGATATCTATATACATCTAGTATCAATAAAATTAAAATGATAACCCCATCAATTACAATAAGTATTACATTTTAAAATAATAACACTAATAACAACATGCCACTCAAAACTGCTTCGACTGACTAAATCTCCCAAATTTTGATATACAGTATCATAGTGTAGAATACTGTGTATAATACAGTAATCAGGTAACATTACTTAATGACTTAATAACATTAATTACATTTGATTAATAAAATTTAAGATAGAAAATAATTATTAAAGTGGTTTTCTAATCTGGGATATTAATATATTTGGATTTCAGGACACCCAATATCCAATTTACCCTCATGATACTCAATGAATTGAAGCTTTCTCTGAGACAGATTTGGGGTACAGTGTGCAATGTACTTGGTGTACAACTTATGCAAAAACCTTTAACATTTATTTTTTAAGACCAACATTCAGACTCTACTTTTAAATCAAACGTGGGTAACGTGCAGTAACTGTGTTCATTGTACCCATTTTTGCATGCCAGCCACACCCCAGCAGTGCCTGTCATGGAGGCTGGCACAGATTGGCATAGCTTATAAAAATTCCACAGCATCTGTTCACTGTGGCAGGGTGGCACTGCAGAGAAAACGAGTGCAGAGAAGAGGATAAAAAGATGCAAGATCTTAAGAATTTTTTAGCATACTTGTAATGTACATTCATGAAAATGAATTTAAATGCATTGATTCACATTAAAAATGAGTTGTTGTTTTTTCTATCTTATACTTTCTATTAGAATGTGAGTGGTCAGTGTTGCAACACAAATATAGGTAATAGAAAAGTACAATGATTTCCCTTTTATAGTGCCATAGTGTGTTTTCCCTTGCATAATCGTGGGTTTACAGCACAGTGTTCAGTGTGTGTTTATATCTTGAGTACATATGAGTGCTTTGTGGTTGTTGCTTATCTGCACAGATGGCATGTGGTTGGGGGGAAGCTAGTCAGTGTATTCAGTAGGTGTAATGTATTGTAAGTTGCTTCAGAGGTATTGCAAGTACAGTGCCTTGCGAAAGTATTCATACCCCTGTTGCTGCCTTATGTTAAACTACTTTAAATTACTTTTTTTCCCACTTCAATCTACACTCCATACACCATAATGCTAAAGCAAAAAAACAGGTTTTTAACATATTTTCCAATTTAATAAAAATAAAAAACTTAAATGATTCCATTCCATGGTTTGCTACTGTGAGGACCACAGAGCAAGGAATGAGGAGACGCAGAGTCGAATTCAGACTTGTAGACTTTAATAATATCAAAGGGAACAGGAAAACACACGTAGTAAAGGTTGACATGAACAATTCCAGACAAGGGAGAACAGAACGGGCTCGAACTCAAATAGGGCAGATAACAAGGGGCAGACAGCTGAGGAGGGTAACTAATAATGAGAAACACCTGGAACTAATCGAACTAAATGGGGACAGGAACAGGAACCAAACCAAATAAGGACGGAGTTCTGCGGGATTGCCGCAAAAACGGCGCTGGATGACGCGACGCTCAACTCGCTGTTCTGGATCGGGGCTAATTACCATCGCCCCGTGGACCTCCCAGACACCACTGGACTAAGCTGGAGGGAAGGGATCCTCTGGTGTCTGGAGAGCGTCCGGCCCCGATCCAGAACCAGCTCGCCGCTGACTCAGCACTCTTGGACAATGGTGCTACCTCCAGAGTTCTCGGCTCCTATCCTCACCCCAGAATCCGCTCCAGAAAGTTCTCCTTCGTCTCCGCTGGTCCCGCCCAGATCTCCATCGTCCCCTGAGCCTCCTTCGTCTCCGCTGGTCCCGTCCAGTTCTCCTTCGTCTCCTGATTCCCCCGAGTTAGCCAGCCCTGCTCCGCCCTCCAGAGTCAGCTCCTCCAGAGCGCCCTCCAGAGCGCCCTCCAGTGTCCACTTCTCCAGAATTCCTAATTTTCCCCAAGAAAATCTTTTGGGGGGGCGGGGGCCATGTGGCCGTGGTGACCGAGCCGGCTAAGGTCACGGAGGATCCGCCATGGCCTCCTGAGTCCCCTGCTCCGCCATGGCAACCTGAACTGCCTGCTCCGCCATGGCCCTCTGAACTGCCTGCTCCGCCATGGCGCCCCAAACTGCCTGTTCCGGCATGGACCCCTGAACTGCCCTATCCGCCATGGCTCCTCGGACTGCCTAATCCGCCCTGGAGGCCTTCCCTGTGTCTCTGTCTTGCACCAGCCTCCAGGGTGCCCACCCCCACTCCCCGGTGGTATTGTTACGGCGCGGGACGCGCCTTCCGGGAGGGGGGAGTAATGTATGTTCCCGTTTAGTTCCTGTTTGTCCTTATTTGGTTTGGTTCCTGTTCCTGTCCCCATTTAGTTCGATTAGTTCCAGGTGTTTCTCATTATTAGTTACCCTCCTCAGCTGTCTGCCCCTCGTTATCTGCCCTATTTGAGTTCGAGTCTGTTCTGTTCTCCCTTGTCTGGAATTGTTCATGTCAACCTGTACTACGTGGGTTTTCCTGTTCCCTTGGATATTATTAAAGTCTACAAGTCTGAATTCGACTCTGCGTCTCCGCGTTCCTCACTCCGTGCTCCTCACAGTAGCAAACCATGACAGTTATATAGTGTTATACAAATTGTGAATGCTTTTGTACATTCATGCAATTGATTATGTACAATTGCTGTTTCCTACATTATCAGTTGCTTATGTTGATCAAAATATATTATACTGGTTCTCTTACGGTATGTATGTAAATGTTCCTGTGTGTTTCTTTAGTGCAATATAGTTTGATTGTGCATGTGTGTTGTGGTGTGATGTGATTATAAATTTGGCCCTGTATAAAAGTGTTTCAATTGAGGAACAGATGTTCATCCGATGAGAGTAACCACATTTGGTTTCTTTCCTCTAGCCAGTCACAAGATAGCCATTGTGAATGTTCTGGCTTGGAGCTGCTTTATTCTATGCTAAGTGTGACATCAATTAAAGAAAAACACACCGCATGGGATGCTGAGTATAGGATTTTTCTTTCATTAATACCAGGATGTGGTATGTAGTGGGTGCTTAAAAGCTGACACTGACAACTATTAACCTAAAATCAACTACGTTCAGAATCCTTGCAATGATAGCTTGCTGTTGAATCCTGCGTTTTCGGCAGTCACATGTATGTAACTGTTCTTCACTAGAACTGACACACCATCTGTGGTCTAATAATCCTCAATATTCAGCTCAGTGTGCGCACACAAACACACACACACACGTTGGTTTTCCATGGGTTTTATGGGGGCATCCTATAGACGTAATGGTTTTTATACTGTAAAAACCGTATTTTCTATCCCCTTACCCTAACAGAAAACTTACTGCTATATTAGATTTAAAAAAATAAATAAAATAAAAAATAAAAATCATTTTG